CAAACACTGTTTCCTAACATTATTTTGTATCACAATTGTTGTCTGTGGTTTGGAGGTTTGAGAGGCACTTATGTAATTTCTGACTTGGAAAATCATTTAAGTTTTCAAATAATTTCAGATAAGATTTAGGTTGGAACTCAAATGAACATAGATAGCCAAGAAAATTTTCTGGGCCTTTAACATGTCAAGAAGTCAGAACTACATGGAATCGCTAGTGTTGCTGGAGAAAGAAAAAGGTCTTAACTCAAAAGGAGTAGGAAATAGTTTATTCCAGAGTTAAACATGAGTGACCATGTCTGGGAAGACAGATTTAAGATACTGCAAACACCATGCTCCAACATGGTAACACTTGAATGGAGTTTTTATAGTAAAAGAATCAAAGTCATGAATCCAGACACCTTCTGAATATATGGTTTTGGACTAGAGTGTGCAAGTTTCAGCAAATGCTGGAAATCTATTAATGATGGTAGTCTTAGTTGTTTGGGGGAGAAACTGTTTGCTAAGGATACACTTGAAAGGTTTTTGACAGTCATAAGGATTCAAGGATAGGCCTAGTATGCACAAAGCCCTAGATTCTAAACCAACACTGAATAAACCTAACTTGGGTGTCCCGTGCTTGTATATCCAAGATTGATGAGGTAGGGGTGGGAGGGGAAGGAATTTAAGGTTGAGCTTGAAGAAATGTCTCAGTACATAAATCATTTGTCATGTAAGCATAAGGACCTAGGTTCAGTTCTCCAGTATACAACTTGTAACTACTCACACACATGCACACATGCATGAATTACCACAGGCAAGCATGCACTGGACCATGGAAGAGAAGTTTAAGGGGCTGATAAATGGCTCTGTGGTTTAGAGCACTTATTACTCTTACAGGGCACCTGAGTTAAATTCCCAGCACCCACTTGGGTAGCTCACAACTACCTGTAACTCCAGCTCCAAGAGATCTCATGCCCTCTTCTGGCCTCTGTGGGCACTGTATACCCCTACAGAACCCTACACACACACACACACACACACACACACACACACACACACATTAAAAATAAAACTTTAATTTAAAAAATGTTAAGGTAATCAGCTACACAACATTTTCCATATCAGCTTGGGATACCTGAGGCCCTGTTATCCATAAATAAAAAACAAATAAACAAATGATAAAATATTAATGAAAATGGTATGCTTAGTTCACTGGCAAATGTAGATAACCCCTGGTGCTAGGATTCTAGATGTGTGCTTTCTCCAGACTCTGAAGCTGACTCCAGTGCGCCTTTCCTATACAGGAGGTTCCAGCATCTCTTGTTTCCTGTGTCTATCAGAGTGTGTGTGTACCCATGTGTGTGGAAGCTGGGTGATAAGGCAGGGTGCTTAAATGCTTTGTTGCATTATGTTAATTCCTCAGCAGTGCAATCAAATTCATGTCGTAATTAAAGCTGTCAGTTGTAAGGCAAGCCAATCGCTGCGAAAGCACAGCATAACAAATGAACTGAAATGATTCCGAATGCTTCACCAGGCATGAAATTAAATAAGTAATTTGATGTTGACATCAGAAATTGAAATGATACCCACTGTTCCCTCATTCAGTCAGACCTGCATAAACAATGGCCAGAGCAAACATGCACAACAAAGCCCTCCTCTCCACCCGCTCCCCAAGTAATGCACAATATATATGCAAAATGAGCATATCAGAGCTTGCTTAGACCTCAAGGAAGAAATTTGCTTTGGTATACAACACGAAGATGTGTCGGGAGGGGGCGGGGAAGCAGGAATCTCAGTTTGGAGTGATCCTTCTCCTTCTGGGATAAAACATTTTCAGGAAGCAAGATGAATGAGATCAACAAATCCCCTTGCATTTCTGTCATTCATCCTAAAATGAGTTTGTTTCCTAGAGGCAGGACTCCAGGCTGGTACAATATAACTTGGCTTCTGCCTTTACCTGTTGTAACAAGAGCTAGGGGTACAGAAAATAGGTGACATGGTCACATGGTCAACCACTGATAAATGCAGTCACCATGACTATGGTTGGTGGATTAAACACACACACTCTCCCTCTCTCCCTCTTTCCCTCTGTCCCTATTTCCCTCTCTCCCTCTTTTCCTCTCTCCTCTCTCTCTCTCCCTCCTTCCCTCCCTCTTCTGCTTATAGAATCAAGAGCACAGAAATGTTTTGTTTGTTTATTGATTTTTTTCCTTAATTTAAATCCATATGTGTGTGTATGCAACAGGTACACAGGTGCCCAGGAAGACCAGAAGAGGGAGTTGTGTCCACTGGAGCTGGAGTTCCAGGTGGTTTATGAGTCACCTGATGTGGGTGCTGGGAACTGAACTCGTGTCCTCTGGGAGACCTTAACCACAAAGATCTTGTTTGCTTTACAGCAAGGTTTGTGGGTCCCAGACTTAACATACTATACACGATGTCTCATTCCTCTGAGCTTGCAGGAAACCCCAAGATGAGGAAACTTTGCTTTCGAAATGCTGTGGAGCATTCTGTCTTTGTTGAGGGAGGACACATTCAGGAAATAGTGTCCCCTTCTCCTAGGGTTTGAATGTGAACTGTCCCCCACAGGCTCATGTGTTTGCACACTTGATCTACAGCTGGTGGTGCTGCTTTAGGAGACTGTGGAATGTTTAGAGGTAGAGCCTTTCTCTAGAGGAAGAGTGTTACTAAGGGTGGGTCTTGGTATTGTATAGGTCCCTCGTACTTCTGTCTGTTCTCTGTTTCATGATTGATGTTGCAATGTGATGAGCAACTTCTTTCTAGGAGGGTTGGTTTTTTGAGATAAGGTTTCTCTGTATAACATCTACAGTTGTCCTGGACTTGGCTCTGAGACCAGGCTGGCCTTAAACTCACAAGAGACCTTCCTTCCTCAGCTTCTTGAGTGCTGGGATTAAAGGCATGCGTTTCCACCTCCAATTCCATGAGAAGCAACTTCTGACACCTGCTGTCATGATAAACATTATCCTCAAACTGTGATCGGAAACTAAACCCTCTCTTCTTTAAGTTGATTTTCTCAGGTGGTTTGTCACAGCAATAAGAATAACAACTCAGCTAGGCTGTGATGGCCAATCCCAGCACTCCAGAGGCAGGGGCAGGGGCAGATGGTTCTCTGTGAGTCAGAGGCCTGCCTGGTCTATAGAGAGTTCCAGGACAGCCTTTTCTACACAAAGAAACTCTGTTTTGAAAAGCAATAAATGAATAAACAAACAAATTAATAAAGTAACTCATACAGCTTCTTAGTTCATTATTAACAGAAATATCTGCTATTGGAATTGTCAAAGTTGCCTTAGCATCTTCTTCCTCCAGTAATCAATCTATTTATTTATACATCTTTTCAACCAGTATTTCTGCATTGCGTCTTTGTGCAAGACATGATATGTTGGCACATGTCTCCTCATGCCTGTTGTTTAAAGAGTAGGATGTTTTCTGGGTAAGTGGAACAGCTAAAGTTAATGATTTTTGAATCAGGTGGGAGATGAGGCCTCTCTGTGGAGGTGATGGCACCCCTAGGGCAAAGCTGCCAAGCTATAATGGAAAGACTGACTTGGCATCAGGTTATTTTCATTTCAAGCTTATTTGGTTCATCCCTTGGTGACAAAGAGGATGACAAAAATTAAATAATTTGTTAAAACAAGTTCTTCAAGAAAGCATATACACACAAAAAAAGATCCAGGCCTGAGATTCTTTTGTAGAGTACTTGCCTGTCATGCATGAGACCCTGGGTTCAATCTCCAGCCCTGTTTAAACCAGGTTTGGTAGTATACTTCTGTTGTCCCAGCAATCAGGAGATGGAAGCAGGAAGATCAAGGCTGTTCTCAACTACACAGACTACACAGAGACCTTGTCTAAAGCCTGGGTAGAGGGCTGGACAAACAATTTAGTTGGTTGAATGATTCCCCAGCATATAGGAAGTTCTGCATTTGACCATTAACATTACATAAATGAGTATAATGGTACATACCTATAATTTCACCCCTGAGGAATTGATGGCAAGCCTAGACCACATGAGAACCTGTCTCAAAAAAGTGGGACAAGGTGGGATCTAGAGAAATGACCAATTAGTTAAAAGAATTCACTACTCTTGCAGCGGACCCAAGTTTGTTTCCCAGCATTCATGTCAGGAAGCTCGAAACTGCCTATAACTCAAGGTCCAAAGGATGCAATACCTTTTTGGTTTCTTCGGGGTACCTGCACACATATAGTACACATAAACTCATACAGACATACATATATACATACATATGGATAATAGTAAGGTATACAAACAACTTCCATATTCATTGTTTGGCTTCTTTTCCCCAAGTACATGATAACCTGACTTCAGTTTAGATTTACTGATTTTTAGTGGTTCACTATGCCAGAGCTGTGGCAGTCTGAATTGATATTATTGAGACAAAAACTGCTTCCCTCTGCCCACGTATTCTTTGCATTTTAGTCAATTAATTATGTTTACAAAATGTCTAATTTTTGCACAGTGCCAAGTGTGTACTACCAAAGTCTTCAGGGAATAAACTGGCAAGTAGGTCATATACCAAAAAGTCATCCAAACCCATTGGGCTTTTTTATTTTCAAGTCAGTTTGGGCTGTTTTTCTCTTGCCTGCCTCTCTGTGGCCACAAAGCCAAATAGCTTGAGACCCAGGCCTTGAATGTCAGGAAGTCAGGGAGGCAGGCTGCCACGTGCCTGTTTAGTCTCAGTGCAGGGCGAAATGCCATCATTAATTCATTACCCAGCTGCCTGTCAAATAAATTGGCAATTATGTCCATCGCAGAAGCTCAGAATCCAGTAAATAGCACGTTAGCATCTCTGAGTCGTTGAGAGATATAAAGGGGAAAATTAAGCAACACGTTCTGTGTATCAGTAGCAGATGACAAGGGGCCTCACAGTCGGGCATGTGATGTCTGGATGAAAAGCTCACAAAGGGCTGCTAATGAGCTGTGTGGATGGGAACATGTTAAAAATTGCTACTGACTTTTCCACTCTGTCTCTGTGCTTTCTCTGCAGAGTTCAGCTCCTTCCAGCTTGGGAACAGGCTACTTCGTAAGTCCATCTCCACTTCCACCTCCGCACCTCGTGTTGCCATCCGTCCACTGCTATAACAAATCCTCATTACAGTGTGAACAAATAACATCTGAGGGATCCTTCTCGCTCCTTGTGAGCACACAGATTTCTGCCCTCTCATTGAGAATTGTTTTATTTTTAAAGGGTTTAACCTGTTGGGCCCTAAGGATCAGGAGGCACCTGCCTAGGTGGGGCACTTAGTATGTTTAGGATATGTGAGGAAACATGATGGGTCTTTCCAGCCCAATTCCATGTTTGCTGGAAGTCAGATTACTTATGGCGGGACCTTCTTCAAGGCACTCCGAAGAGCTTCGATATACAGAGGGACTTCATTTTTGTTCCTCCATTTTGAAGGGAAGTGGCATTCCTTTAGTTTCCTTCACACTCTAGTTGGTATCCCCTATCTAGCTTCTATGACAGTACGCCATAATGTATGTCAAATTCAGGTGCATTATCTCCTTTCGGGTCCATACAGTGTGCCCTTAGGGGAGGGGAGGGGATGGAGGAAACATATTTCTGGGATATTACACTATCTTTCATCCAAAGACAGAGAAATGGTTGCTTCATTAAATTTTTATAACAAAATTATCCTTTGTGGATTCAGTATTCCTTTTCAACATATAAATGAGGAAGAATTACAAACCAAAATTATTTACACAAGATAACATAGCAGTGTTCCAGTTTGTTACAGTATTTACAAGAACTTGATTTAGTTCTGTAGGAACACTTGATACTATAATACCCAAGACTGAACACTACTGCAAACATAGTCAATAAGTACTAATTCAGTGCAGCTGCTTTTAGCTTTGTCCTTCTAAGATGCTAAACATTCTTCTGCTGACCCATTTCTCTTACTGTATTTGTTAAATCATGGAAATAAGCATTGTTTCCATGAATGGTGAGTATTTGCTAAGGTTGGCCAACCCCCCAGCCCCTTGTTCTTAATCTGTCATCCAAGGAAAATGGTAAGGATGCCTCTGGACCTGCATCATACAGTCAGCACAGTTAAGTGTTCAGGGCCTGAATATTCATGCTTACAGAAGGAGCAGGATTCACCCAGCTTCTTGCTTCAGCAGTCGAAAGAACAGACGTGGTCCCATCTGCCATCTCTTCACACCAGGCTGGGTGTGGGTTGAGATGCTGGAAGTAAAATCTGGAGGCTGTTGTGCCTGTTCTCCATGCACAGGCTCTATCCTAACCCCACCTCCTTTTCAGAAATGAAGCCAAAGCCACCACCTTCGACATGTTCTGTTACATCCTGAATAGTCTATTGTTATTTTTTTAATCGTCAGTATAATTGCCATGAAAAGAAGAATGTTAGGAGTGGACATTTTGTTCTAATTTTTTACTTTCTCAGTTCTAAGAATTCTTATTTTTATTTTCTAATGATAATCTGATTAACTGTCGAATCCTTGATTAGGATTTGGAGGTTTTTTTTTTATGCTCAAACAACTTTGGTCAACTTTAAAACTTCTTTATCTTGCTAAAATTGCTTTGGTAAAGTCGACTTACTCTGCTTATCTCAAGAACTGTCATGTTATTAGTGTACATGGAGAAGATGAGTACCAGATGTCTGTTCTGCTCTCAGCTATGATAAAAATGCCCCTCGGAGGATGGCTTTCCAATACTGCATTGTTCTGTTATCACCCTGTGAAATCCTTGGTGGAGTTGCCAAGCCCCCATCAAAACCCAGCTCTCTTTCTAGTGTCATTCCAACAGTATCACACATAATCCTCAATGTCAGGCACTAACTTCCATGTTGGTGAGTTTCTCGCTTTTAAATAGAAATAATGTATTTACAACTTCTGTTATTGCCCATTCCCCAAACATACTGTTTACATTGTGTTCTGTGGTGTGGATGTCAGTATAGCTCTCAGTAAGATGGTAAAGAAGTCACAAGCTCAGTATTAGGTTGAGTCCCCATACTGATTTTTTTCCTCCCTTGTTATTCTCCTTTGACGCACTTTGATATGTGGGTGGAGGGAAATCGCTACAGACGAACTATTTTTTATCATTAAATCATAAACTGTTGGGTTTGGAAAGGCTAAAGTCCCTCATCTTTGGGGGTTACCAACCCAGAACTTTTTAAACACTCTCCCATGCCTCAGTAACCCTCCTCACTCTAGAACCTTCTGTTAGCTCCCATGTCCTGTAGTAGAGATTTTAGTAAACTAAGGTAAAAATCCTTTTGCTATTTCGTAAAACAGTTACTGTAATCCATGCATCCTCAAGTCTATATTTGTGCACATGACGTGTGTCGGAACCTGTGCCTACTCACTCTTGGGCCAATCCAACTGAGTGTACCTTTCTCTCAGTTCTTTGACTGTATTGCTGAAAGGTTTTAAAGAAGTCTTTGTTTTTTATCTGGTTTTATTTGTTTATGTCTTCCTGGTTTTGTGTTCCAAAGATGTCTGCGTAGGTCTGTCAGTTTTCCAATCTATGCAAAAGCAGAAGATTTGAGGGATGGGAACAGCAGTGAAGAGCACTATTTACATAAGCATATTGCAAAGAATTCTTAAAGTAGACAAAATAGAGAAGGGTTGGAACAAACTTTGCACGTTTTGGGGAGGCTTTGAATACTGTGTTATACACACACAGACACACACACACACACACACACACACACACACACAGAAATTGTAGTCGACTTGGAATCAATTTGCTGTTTTTTTTTTTTCTTTCCTCTTTTGGCAAGCAATCTGAAACTTGTTGGAGTGTGTATAGGGTTTTCTTTTTGTTTTTTAAACGTCAGCTCAGTGAATACATTTTCTGTTTGATTTAAACATTTTTGGATATCTTTTCTTGTGAAACATATACTTGCAATTTCACTCTAAATAATGTGTAATGAAGTATGGAGTGGCAAACCAATTCATGTGACTAGCTGTGTGACCTTGGGCAGGGTGTTTGATATCTTTGTTTCTGCTTTACCTCCCACCTAATAGAATTGTGAATCTTAAACCAAATGACATAGTTAATGTGCACAGAACAGAACTCAATAACAGCAAGTAATAAACTGTACCTTTAAGTTTTTTTTTCTAAAGATTTTTTAAAACTTGTTTTTAATTGTGTGTGTATAAGTGTGTGCACAGCAGTGCTAGTGCCTATATAGTCCTGAAGAGGATCTCCTGGAGCTCCAGTTACAGGTGCTGTGAACTCCTGATGTAGGTGCTAAGAACTGAGCTTGCATTGTCTGCATGGGAAGTATGCATTCTTTTAACCACTGAGTTCTCTCTTCAACCTCTAAGTGCCTTTATTCTTCACACTGCAAATGAGTAGATAAAGTTTGTGTCAAACTATACAGTATTGTGGTGACAAAAGACACCACTAAAAAAAATAGTAACATGAAAGTAGATTTTGTCATTTGTACCCAGAGCCATTCCCTTCCAGGAGCTTTCACAGGGGCCTGGGATTCTGTGTTTGATTGACTGTGTATCATTCACTCTGTGTGGACTTCAGACACAGATGCATTTAGTCTGTCCCCTGGTGATGGTGTCGTTGAAATGACCTCTTTTCTGGGCTGTCTAGGCATGACAGTTGTTCCCTTTAATCTTGTTAATGTTTCTTACCTGTTTTCCCCATGGAGGAATCTTTAAAACACGTCAAGAACATTTAACATGACTGAGGCTTGGGCAGTGAAGGAATGTCTTTTCAGTAATTCAAGTTTTAAAAGATTGGCTGTAGGGTGTGAGTGTTACTCTGTGACAGGAGGTGTGACCACTGTCAGGAGAGAGTGACCACAGGTATGAGGCAACACTTCATCAGATTGGTTTCTCACTGGACCTGGAACTCATGACTGGCTAGGCTGGCTGGCTGCTAAATTCCCACTGTGCTTCCCAGCCCTAGGATTAAAGGCATGACCCACCAAGCCTGGTGTTTTACATGGGTGATTGTTGTGAATTCTGGGCTTCTTGCTTTTGTAAATAACACTTTATCTCTTGATTCATCTTTCCAGCCCCTGTACCTGTAGTCAGGTGACTAGTTTCCTAGCTCTAGAGAAAGGGATGTAAAACCGTCTTAGACCAGGTGAAATATCCTGTGTACTCCTCTGGATAATGCCCAGCCTTCTTACAGTCTTGAGTGTCTGAGGACACTGACCCACTAGCTGGGATCTGGCTTCCCTAACTCCAGTTAACTTCCCTTAATGTTCCAGCTTGCTAATTGTCACACTTTAAGTTGTCTAGGGAAACAATATACTGATGCCGTATGACTTATACTACAGGCAAGGGAGAATTGTAAAATATGACACTTCCTATGATGGACTTTGTGTAATTAGCATTCTTCTGTACATTACTTACTTTGCCCTTCAGAAACAGATTCCTATTGGTGGGGCTTTTGTGGAATTATTTATTCCTTAATTCATTATTAATAATTATTCATTATTAATGGATATTTCAATTTTTTTCATGCTAAAGTTTGCTCTTGTAGAGATATTTGTCCACTGAGAAACTACATGTGTTGGTTTCTCCTATTCTGTAGCTAGATGGTATGGTAAGAGCTTTATTACAGACGACTAAAAGTCCAAAGGGAGATGGATAGGTCACTGCATCAAAAGCTAAATGTAATATTTTATTTTAACCTTTATATTTTTTCATGAAACAGGTTTCAAAACAGATGCCATTAAGTTTATAGATGTATCACATAAATGTTACATACGTTGATATGAAGTATATACCAAGGACCCACAGGTAAGGCTCTGAAGAATTGTTCTGAGTATACACACGCACGCGCGCGCACGCGCACACACACACACACACACACACACACACACACACACACATACATACAATAAGCAGATATAAATCAGCTGTTCTGAAGTTTTAGGACTCATCACTTCACTTAACTGCTTGAAAATACACCACCCTCCCCCATTGTAAATTAGATGCCTCCCTACCCATTTCATGAAAATCTTAGATTTTGGTGAAACACCAAGAGTATGGTGAAGGAGGTTAGAAAACCTACCTGGGGCTTGTTTAAGAGGA